ATTAAAAAAACAACATAATAATTTATTAGTTAATAAAGAATATCTATTGTGTTATCATTTATGCCTATTTTGTCTCATTAATTCTCAAGTTTAGCCATAATATCCATCGAGAGGGCGTTAGCAAACAGCGCACATCTTAACCTACGCAAAAATCCGGCATAACTTTAGTCAACTTTATAAAAATAAAAGTCATTTTATTTATATCTTAGAAGTATTAAATCCAACTCATCAATTTTAATTCTTGTTGTTTTAATAAAATATAAAATTAATTTATTTTTGCAAGAAATATTCAAGATGGAAAATATATAATAAAATTTTTTAATGGGACGCGGTTAATATTCAATAATTGCCGATAGTTTTGAAAAATTATTTTCTATTTAATAATTAATTATCATATATTAAGAAATTGTTTATAGTATATATCTAGTTATATGTAAATACAATTGTTCAACAATTAAAAGAGATAAATCATTAAATTTTTAAGAAAAAAATTGCAAAGTTGCAAATGAAATTGATTATTCCTAGATTAGAATATTGAATAAAAATGGAAATTACAAATATTTAATTTTTATTTTCTTCAAATTGTATTGTTCGATTATTAAGATATGTTTCTATTGAAATCTAGTAAATTTTAAAACTATTGATTAGCGAATATCGAATTTTAAACACAAAACTTTATTAAAATTGATATCGATAAAAATAATAGAATTTCAAGATCTGTAATATCGTTAGATCGAGATCGATTAATCGAATTCAAAAAGTATCGAAAGGAACATCGACTTTTAGTTCAAAAAAGGTTCGAATGTCTGTTAGTCGATTAATCTAGGAAGATCGACTGCTATTTATTCCTGATGATAAGCAGAAACAGTTGTAAAGGTTAGACAATATCAGAAAACACACGTACGACATACAAGATGCAAACAACTTGATAAGTAAATAGTAGTCACGAAACGTAAGTATAAATCGTTAAATTTATTTTATGTTTTCTCAATTAATATTTTATGTCAACACATACAATTGAGTCAGTTATTACGAAAACAGCATGAATCGCAATTTTTCAAAATTTAAATTATTCCCACATAATTGTTTTGCGCGTTAGACATTGCGTGTACGAAGTATTAATTATGCTATTGGTTACAAGTAATTTAAAAATTGTATTAGTTTAATTCATGCTGTTTTTATATGTAATATTGATTTGTTTTTAATTTATTATAAATAACGAATATGATTTTTATTAATTTGTGAAATAATTTATTGTTGCATTATTTATTTTAATGCCAATTTACGTATTATTTTTAACATGTAATAATATGTATTGGAAATAATATTTTCATAAAAATCAAATTGTGGATATCTTTTTGTATTTTTAATATAATATAAAAATATCTTTTTAAGAAACGAGAGAGTGTCATTATAATTAATGCTACATTAATTTCAGAAAATCATAAATTTTTGGAATCCTGCGGAATTAATTATTCAACATTATGTGGAATGAAGATATGAATACTGTTATTCTGCCTACATTATCTACTATGATTTTCTTTGTATTCACGATCAATTTCTTCCGATACCTCATAGGTAGTCCTCATATTCAAATAAGAGACGTTACAAAGGAACATAATTGGAAAGCAATTAGAGGAACAACCAAGGTGCTTTTTCAGAATTTATAGAATTGCTTTAATATATTATTTTTTTACAATAGAATAAAATATTTTTATAATAAAAGAATTAATTATCTACTTTTATAAAAAATTGCATATTTTTATCAAGATTAAGTGAAAGTAATAATAAGTTTAATTAACCAAATATATGAAATTGCTCTATATATACACAGGCGTATTACTGCAGTATTTGTGAGGCACTATTATTGAATCTTGATGCTCTTTTCTGTGATTCTTGTGGCGTGTGTGCGGATCGAGGATGCGTGAAACTCGCTGATAAACAGCTAAAATGCAAGGCTATAACTCTCAGT